AAAAAAAAGAGTGAAAATGATTATAGAGTTTCAGTGCTTTCTATATTGTATTAGCTTTCACGGTGAATAAAAAAATATTACAAGTAAATAATTTTACTAAACCAATCTTTGATTAATTCTTGTAATAGAGATTTATTATGCAACTTTAAATTTTTCGTTGTGTTGATATCCATAAAAAAAACTACCTACCTCTGATCACATTTTTTATTAAAAAAAAAACAAAAAAACATTTTATTATTAATAAAAAAATGTGATTATATGATGATCAGACATTATTATGTTATATAAATAAATGTGAATGAAATATCTAATAAAACACACTAAAAACACAAATAAAACACACACCAACACTCGCCAAACCTAACCAACAATAAACAATAAACATGAACAAGAACAAAAATGACATGAAATGATTCATAATTGCAATTGTCAAAATTTATTCTACAAAATCTTTGTGGCGACATCTGTAGACTCTTTCCCCAACTTGTATATCCATCTCAAGTCACGTGGTTCCCAGAGTTTCCCCATATTTTCAAGTATAAGTTCTCGGGCCCTGCGTCTGGCAAATGAAAATTTGGAAGCAATTATACGTGTGGCTTCAAGTAATGTGGAGCTAAATATAAAAAACTTGTTAGTTCAATGCAATGTCATGCATCAAAATAATAAAACATGAAATATTACATTGTAATGATTACATAATTATTACAACAAACATTTTTGAAGGTTATTTTATTTTTATCATTGTATTTCATACTATTTAAAAATAAAAAAATTTGTGTTAATGAATATTGTATGTAGTGGCCCGTCCTTGGCTTATATTTTTCCCGAGTGGCCCCTGTTCCCTATAAGTTTGGGCATCCCTGCTTTAAAGTTAACAGAAATGTGTAGCTGTGATAGAACAGCAATATAATCCCATTTCTAAGAAACTTGTTGGACTCTACTCTTACAACTGCTGCCTTGGCTGTTTTTATTATAAAATCTAATCTTCATATCCAATGTGTATAATATTTGAATACCTATAGAGGCTGTTTCAGAAAGACCTCCGGTAAATACAGGGGGCGATAGTATGACAAAAAATAAGAAATATAGGGTGGGCCACCAGTAACGCACAACTTTGATACAGTACGCTTTTCCTGGACACCTTGCATATTTCAAAATATTTTTAAAATGTAGCCGTAATCAACCTACACATACCCATCTAAACAGATTTCTATAACGTTTGCCGTTTGGTCCCTAGCGAAGGGCCTCATGGCCCTACTAAACATAACAAACGCGACACTCAGACTAAGACACTTCCCTACCCGCTGGAAAACAGCAAACATAATCCTTATCCCAAAACCCAACAAAGATCACACCATCCCATCCAACTACCGGCCCATTAGCCTGCTCCCGGCTATGAGCAAAGTGGTAGAAAAAATTATCCTAACCCGTCTAAGAACCCACTCCCAAGAACTGCAAGTCATTCCAGACGAGCAGTTCGCCTTCCGACCCAATCACTCCACTGAACTCCAAATCCTTCGCCTTACCGAGCACATCACGGCGGCCTTCAACAGGGGACAGTACACTGGTGCTGTCTTCCTGGACGTCGCAAAGGCCTTCGATACGGTTTGGCATGAAGGCCTACTGATGAAAATGCTCACCAACCAATATCCCATATCCTTTACCAAACTCATAAAATCCTACCTACACCACCGAAAATTCCGCATCCAAATCCAAGATTCCCTTTCCACCACCCGTCCCATGGAGGCCGGTGTCCCCCAGGGCACCGTCCTGTCCCCACAC